CATGGAGATCTGTGCGGGGGGAATTCCCTCATGGACGTTCCCTAATCCCAGTGTTCCCATGGAGATCTCTGAGTGGGGAATTCCCTCCTGGAAATCCTTTAATCCCACTGCCATATCCCTTGGAGATCAGTGAAGGAGGAATTCCCTCAGTGATTTTCCATATTCCCTTGGAGCTCTGTGAGGGAGGAATTCCCTCCTGCATTTCCCTTAATTCCAATATTCTCTTGGAGCTCTGTGCAGGAAAATTCCCCCATGGATTTCCCTTAATCCCAGTGTTCCCATGGAGATCTCTGAGGGAGGAATTCCCACATGGAAATCCTTTATTCCCACTGCGATATCCCAGTGTTTTCTTGGAGCTCCGTGAGGGAGGAATTCCCTCAGGGATGTCCCTTAATTTTGAAATTCACTTGGAGCTCGTAAGGAAGGAATTCCCTTATGGAGGTTCCCTAATCCAAATGTTCTCTTGGAGATCTCTGAGGGAGGAATTCCCTCAGGATGTCCCATAATTCCCATATTCCCTTGGAGATTTCTGATGAAGGAATTCCCTCATAGAGGTTCCCTAATCCCAGTGTTTCCATGGAGATCTCTGAGTGGGGAATTCCCTCATGGAGGTCCCTTAATTCCCATATTCCCATGGAGATCTGTGAGGGAGGATTTCCTTCACAGATGTTCCATAATTCCAATATTCCCTTGGAGTTCTGGGAGGGAGGAATTCCCTCCTGGATTCCAATATTCCCATGAACATCTCTGAGGGAGGAATTCCCTCATGGAAATCCTTAATTCCCATATTCCCATGGAGTTCCGTGAGGGGGGAATTCCTCATGGATTTCCCATAATTCTGATATTACCTTGGAGATCTCTGAGGGAGGAATTCCCTCATCAGAGTTCCTTAATCCCAGTCTTTCCTTAGAGATCTGTGAGAGGAATTCCCCCATGGATATCCCATAATTCCTATATTCCTTTGGAGCTCCATGAGGGAGGAATTCCCCTGTGGATGTTCCTTAATTTCGATATTTACTTGGAGCTCCATGAGGGAGGAATTCCCTCATGGAGGTTCCCTAATTCCGGTGTTCCCTTGGACGTTTCTGAGGGAGGAATTCCCTCCCGAATATCCCTAAATCCCCTTTTCCCTCAGTGTTTCCCAAATCCTATCCCTGCAGCCTCTTTGCTTTATTCCCTCTGTGCTCAGTCTTCCCTCTTTTTTTTTTTTCCCATTTTTTGCCCTATTTTTATCCTGCCATTGCTCCAAATCCACGGAAAATCTCTGCAGTAAGTGGGAGGTGCCAGACCTGGGAACAAAGGGATGATCCCAGAGCGTTCCCAGATATTTCAGGAATTTTTTTTCCCTCCACCCCTTCAATTCATTAATTCCTTGGAAATATCCCACTGAAATCTCCTTTTCCCGCTTTTTTTAGGACGGAACCAGCTCTGACAAGAGGAAAAATCATCCACAGGGCAATTCCCAGCTATCCCAAAAACCATGGAAAATCCAAATTATCCCAACACTTATTCCCCCTCGATTTCCCCATGATTTTCCACACCTTTAAAGCCTCAAATCCCGTCTTTAGCAGGGAATTTTTTGGGGATTATTTTTCCAAATTCCTCGGCTCAGCCAGGAATTTTTTCCAGCCTGCATGGACAGAGCAACCTTTGCCTGTTCCACCGCTTTTTTCCGGGATTTTGGGAATTCTTCTCCGGGTGCTCTCCCCGGGGGCCACGTGGATTTTATTGACAAAGCCGATTCCTTCACTTATTCCGATTTTTTCCGGGATTATCTCATTCCCAACCATCCCTGCATTTTCTCGGCCAAGTTCACCGAGGATTGGGGCAGCAGGAAAAATTGGGTGACCTGGGATGGGAAACCCAACTTTGAGCATCTCCTGCAGAAGTTTGGTAAGTCCTGGGATTCTTTTCCAGATCCTAAAGGATTCAGCTTTTTAGGATTGAATTTTCAGGATAAAAGCACTAAAAAACACAGAATTCCAAGATTTTTTCCATTTATTTGTTCCCAAATTTTATTTTTATTTAAATTTAAATAAATTTCAAATCTTGGAGAATTTAATTATTCCAAATCCTAAAGGAGTCAGCTTTATAGGATTGAGTTTTCAGGTAAAAACACTAAAAGAACCAAAATTCCAAGATTTTTTCCCTAAACTATTACATGGATTTTTTTCCATTTATTCATTCCCAAATTTTATTTATATTTAAATAAATTTTAAATCTTTGAGAATTTAATTAATCTAAATCCTAAAGGATTCAACTTTAAAAGATTGAATTTTAGGGATAAAAGCACTTAAAACTTCTAAATTCCAGGTTTTAATCCTAAATTAATCCATGGATTTTTTTTTTTTTTATCCCATGGGAAACCCAACTTTGAGCATGTCCTGCAGAAGTTTGGTAAATCCTGGGATTTTTTCCAGATCCTAAAGGATTCAGCTTTTTACGATTGAATTTTCAGGATAAAAGAACTAAAAAACCCCAAAATTCCAAGATTTTTTCCAAAATTAATCTGTGGATTTTTTTTTTTTCCTGTTTCCTCACTGTCTGGTTTGCAGATTCCAAGCTAAAATTTATTCCCGATTTTTTTTTTTAGAATTTATCATTTAAATAAATTAAAAATCTTGGATAATTTCATTATTCCAAATCCTAAAAGATGCAGTCCTAATCAATACCTCCCTCCTAATGGATTTAGCGGAAAAATCCCCTTTAAAGAAAAAAATAGAAAATTCAGGTCACAGCACAGAAAAACCAGGAAAATTTGGGGCACATGGAATAAACAGCAGGAAAATTCAGGTCACTGGAAATAAACAACTCTGGATTTGGATGTTGTTTCCCTGGAATATTGGGATGGTTCCTCTGGAATATTTGAAGCCCGGAATTCTGCAGGGATGAGCTTGAGGGAGGTGATTTGACAAATCCTTCTCATTCCTGCAGAGAATTCCCAAAGGATTTGTAATTTCTGGATCATGTTCCCTTGGAATGATGGTTCTGGGATTGGGATGGTTCCTCTGGAATATTTGAAGCCCAGAATTCCACAGGGATGAGCTTGAGGGCAGTGATTTGATGAATCTTCCTCATTCCCATGGAGAATTCCCAAGGAATTTGTAGATCCTGGATTGTGTTCCCCTGTTATGATGGTTCTGGGATTGGGATGGTTCCTCTGGAATATCTGAAGCCTGGAATTCCATGGGAATGAGCTTGAGGGAGGTGATTTGATGAGTCCTCCTCATTCCCAAAGGATTTCTAATTTCTGGATCATGTTCCCCTGGAATGATGGTTCTGGGATTGGGATGATTCCTCTGGAATATCTGAAGCCTGGAATTCCGTGGGAATGAGTTTGAGGGAGGTGATTTGACAAATCTTCCTCATTCCCGAGGAGAATTCCTAAGGAATTTGTAGATCCTGGATCGTATTCCCCTGTTACGATGATTCTGGGATTGGGAAGGTTCCTCTGGAATATCTGAAGCCCGGAATTCCGTGGGGATGAGTTTGAGGTGCAGATGATTTGATGAGTCCTCCTCATTCCCGCGGAGAATTCCCGAGGGATTTGTAATTCCAGGAGAAGCCGTGGTGCCCGTTGCCAACTGCGATGTCAAGGAGTACAATTCCAACCCCAAGGAGCAGCTGCCCTTCAAGGAATACGTGGAATATTGGCGGGAATACATCAGGAACGGCTACCGCTCCTCCCGGGGCTGCCTCTACCTCAAGGACTGGCACCTGAGCAGGTCAGGGCTCATTCCCAACGCTCCGGCACTGGGAATGTTCCTCGGGAGAAGGGAAGTGTCCACGGAATCCTCAGAGCCTAAAGACGCTCCAGAAAAGCTGGAGAGGGATTTGGGATAAGCTTGGAATGACAGGACACAGGGAATGGCTTCCCACTTAATTTGGGAAGGCGTTCCTGGCTGGGAAGGAATTCCCAGAGAAGTTGCTCCATCCCTGGAAGCAGCCAAAGCCAGCTTGGAGCACCCTGGGATCGTGGGAAGTGTCCCTGGCACGGGGTTGGAACGGGATTTTCTTTGGGATGCCATCCAACCCCAGAAATTCCATGATTCCGTGGGTTGCAGTTGTTCCAGCTGGAGTTGCGAGGCAAAGCAGACGAGCTCAGCATCAGCACAGAGGGAAAATATTCCAACATTCCCTGGGGGATTCCAAAGCCTTGGCCTCCAGCTCCAAAAAGAGCTCAGAACTCCTCAAATCCCCGATATTCCAGGCTGATGTCGTTCCCTCAGCCTCATTCCCAGCTTTTATTCCATGCTCAAGATCCATTTCAGCCCAGCTTGGGAAGGAATTCCTGGCTGGGAGGGTGGGGAGGGGCTGGGATGGAATTCCCAGAGCAGCTGCAGCTGCCCCTGGATCCCTGGAAGTGCCCAAGACCAGGCTGGAGCAACCTGGGACAGTGGGAATTGTCCTTGGCCATGGAATGGGATGATCCTTAAGGTCCCTTCCCACCCAAACCATTCCATGGTTTCTCCCTATGGAAAATGGGACTGGAACAGCTCCTGCAGCCAGACCTGGATTGGGATTTGAGTTGGGATTATTCCATGGCCATGTTGGATTTGGGATCCTTTTGTCTCCATGGGCTTTTCTGGGAACATTCCCACTCCTTCAAGTTGCCTTCCCCCAGCTCTGCCTTTCCTTCTCCAGCTGGAAAAGAACCTTGGGAATGAATTTTCCCTGTGGGAATGGGAAAGGGGCTGGGCTGGAATTCCCAGAGAAGCCTGTGGCTGCCTCTGAATCCCTGGAAGTGCCCAAGACCAGTTTGGAACAATCTGGGATAGCGAAAATTTGGGATAAGCCACTCCTTCAACTCCCCTTCCACCCCAAACCCTTGGAATTCCATCCTAAAGGAGCCACCTTGCTCTTCCCCCTGCATTTGGAGGATCCCATTTTCCCGAGCTGCTTTTCCAAGTGTTTCTGTTTTCCAGGGCTTTTCCAGAGCAGGATGTTTACACCACTCCCGTGTATTTTTCCTCGGATTGGCTCAACGAATATTGGGATGCCGTGGCCGTGGATGATTTTAGGTTCGTCTACATGGGACCCAAGGGATCCTGGTAAGGCTCTCATCCCAAAAAATTCCTTTTCCAGCTGACTATCCCAGGAAATTATCCTGTTATCCCTCAGGATAACCAGGCAGGTTTCCTGGTGTCCCGGTTGGCTCCAGATGAGAGGGAAAAGGGAAAAAACCCAAATTGTGCCCACAAAAACAACAAAAAAAATCACCTGGGAGATTAGAGGAGAAATTCCCTTGGGATCAGCCACTTGGAATGGGCAGGAGCCTGGAATGGCAGGGATAACGCCGGGGTTTTCCAGGGGGAAATTCCAAGTGAGAATTCCAGCCCAGTATTGGTTCTAAAGATGCATTTGGGGTGTTCTTATCAGATTTCCCTGTTCTTGAGGGATTTTTGGGATAGATTAAAGAGGAGAAGCACAGAGGATATAAAACACTCCATTATCCAGCCAGAATTCCATGAAGAATTCCATGAGGAATTTTGGGATC